CTGCTTGATTTTTTAATTTCATTTTATGTAAACAACTAATATGTAGCGTAATTATTTTCTGTGTGTATGGGCTAAATATCAGTATGTTTATTACCAAAAGAAGTAAATGTGTTTATTTGGGTCAGAGTTTCGGATTTTCCTAAGTGAATTTTACTGGTTATGGTTTTGATTTTGTAAACATCAGGATCGTTATAGAAGGTTATTTTCTATTAGGTTATGGTGTCTTTTTTTAGAGGTCAAGTAGAGAACTATATAATCTTGTAATCGTGACGGCTTGGATCAAGTGCTTTAACATCTTGCTCTTTCAAATTGTATATTATATGTTGTGACCAGTAGTTTTTGGGCAGGAATGATTTTTATTCAAATTATTTAATTTAAGTGATTATTTTCTGTGGAATGCTCAGATGAAATTCTTGGATAGAGACATTCACTGGAATTTACACTGGATATCACTAAATCCATCTTGATTCTTCTAGCTCATAAACATAAAGAGCCTTATAATCCATTAATCTGGATAAATAGGATAATCCTCTTCCTAGCTATGTACCATTTCATCAAGTAGATTAAGTAACAAAGAGTTGCCATATTAATTTTCATGACCTGCACAAAAAGCAAATCTGGTTGTGACAAAAAAATACTTGATTAAAAATAATATATCCAGCTTATTTATTTGTAAGTCTTTTACGACATTAGGTTTTCAAACTAAGTAACAGAAAAGACTGCAAAACCAACCAGTTTTGTAAAATTCAACAAATACTTTATTTTCCTGATACATTGTAAAAATTTAAAAAGAACTTACCCTATTGCGAATTAAATGCCAAATAGTTATAAAACATTTAACCACACGTCCAAATGTATAAAGTTCCAACTAAATTCTAGTATTTATTCAAATAATTTCTAATATTGAATGTATTGATGTGTTGTAGTTTTGAACATGTAATTTACCACTGGCCAGAAATGGGATGATGCGCTATGAGTCTTTTGATGTATTACAATGATATAATCAAACAATGTTCCTGTCTGAAATCACGATATATCCAGATTAATATTTTTGTCGAAGAATATTATTATTGAGCACTTAGTAATTCCAATGAATAATAATTTGAATTAAAAAACAAAACAATAAATCCATTCAAATGAAAAACTGAACACAAAAATAATACTGATTCTGCTTCAGTTGCTTAAGGCAAGAATAAGTAATTTTACAAGCAAACAAAATTATATAAAAAAAAAATTAAAACACAACAATGGAACCAGAATGCAGGTCAGTCTCCTACATAAAACGTTCAAAGTTGTCAACCAGTTAAGGAATCTGCAATCGGAAATCCTATATCCGAGACTCAGACCCAAATAAATAAACATGTTTCCCTCCATTGATAATGATATAAATATTTAATCTAAAATGGCAGAGAAATGATAATTATGTATTACGTTGTATACAAAATATATTACTGGTCCGTTACTCAGTGAACATGATTTGGAATATATATATATATATATATATATATATATATATATATATATATATATATATATATATATATATATATATATATATATATAAAGCAAACAAATCATGGTGAATAACAGCCCTTTCAAGTAGTGATCACCACGTGTGTCAAGGATTGTTTAAGATAAATGCAATAAACTTACGACAAACTGCAAAATTAGTATCCAATTAGCCTCGGCATTTTCGACTCTTAATGAGTATTTTTCAAAGGCAAATACAAAACATAGACATGATATACAAATAAAACAAACACATAAAAACACAGATGTGTTTGCAAAAGTTAAACCTGGCTGTTTATGCAGGAATTAAACCTTTCAATTTATTGTGTTTCAATTGGTTTATTTCAACTTGTTGCGGATGCTTGAAAATATTTGCATTGACTTAGAACTCTACGACCCATAATGTCATCTGTTGTTTTAAGTAAATTTGATAAGCGCAAATTATTTCCCGGATTTTTCATTGTCATAGTACATAGTAGTAATTATCCGCTGTTAAACAAATTTAGAGAATTATTTAAAAGAAAATGTGTCGGCTGTCATTTTCTAATCTTCTTGGTTTAAACCGCTTGATTCAATCGTCTAAGGTGATGTACGCAGTATACTCAAGATAACAGACTCACTACAATCCCAGTTACATTTATTTTCACATATCTTTCATTTTCGTACATTATTTTCAAACATTTTGTTTATAAACGTTTGAACGATTTTTTTCAATTCATTTCAACATAAGCTTTACCTTGTATTCTCATCATAATATTCACTCTCCCTCAAATGTTTGTATATGTTTGCTGTTTAATTTATTTTTTTATCCTCCTTTTGTGTAATGTTTTCTTTGGTATCATAGCTTTGTGCAAAATACATTTTTATATTCATAATAATCCACAGAATCAAGTATATGCTACTATTAGTTACCGTTATGAAATGTTCACATTCTCTGTGTATAAATTCTTATCCTATTGCATATTTCACATACAATACTCTCTCTCTCTCTCTCTCTCTCTCTCTCTCTCTCTCTCTCTCTCTCTCTCTCTCTCTCTCTCTCTCTCTCTCTCTCTCTCTCTCTCTCTATATATATATATATATATATATATATATATATATATATATATATATATATATATATATATATATATATAATATTTGTATATGCGTGTTTAAGATTTAGAAAAAAAGGCTTCAGGAACAAATCAAGTTACTATAATATGGAATCCTGTCAGAAAAATATACTATGTGTCAATAACTAAAACAAAACCAATCATTTTAGACTATAAATACATAAAGACTAAAGAAGACTCCTCTCCCACAACGGCGACCATTTGTGTATGGGGGTCGGGTGCAATTCTTATACAACAAATAAACAAATTTCGCATCTTTCTACATTTGTATTTGTGTAAAACAATTGTGGACAATATTTGAGTTATTTACACTGCCTAAGGGCGCTTTGGGTATAATGCTTTTTTAAACAAATTTTTTTACCTAGTTAGTAATTGGGAAGGGGGGAAATTTTCGATTATTTTGCGAAAGTTTGTTTCAATAATTGCTTTGAGAAAAATTGTTTGAAGAAACTTTTTTTGTTATTATTTTATTTTTGGTTAAATTTTCTTTTCAATGTTTTTAGAAACTGCTACAACATTTTGCAACTTTTTTATTTATTTGTTTTCTTGAGGGTGGGTGTCATTCATATACCAATTTTTGTGCCGAAAATGTTATACGTACTTGTTGATGTGTTAGTCGTGAAGATAATTCATTCCATATAATTGTCAGTTTTTTTTATTTACATTATACAAGACAAATATGAGAGTATATATATGCATATTCACATTAACACATCACCTCTATAAAGACAATGACACATAGATATATACATGCATACCCGTACACGTATGTTTCCAACAGCGTAGTTTGTGACACTTAACTGTTTGTACAATGACCATCTATTGTCCTATTCAAAGATTCTATACGCGCTTTATTTGTCTACATTCAAATTGAGAAGAGAAAAATTATGTTTGGAACTGAGGCAATCTTTGCCTGCCTCTAAAAAATCTATACTTATAAATAAATTATTGTGCATACAGAAATAGCAAAATTATTATATCATCAGCGTGAGTCTGTCTTTATTTCCAAAATTAACATTTATGTTTGTGAATTCTTATTATTTGTACGACTACGTTTACTTTTTATCCATTGCAAAATAGCATTTATAAAAATTTTAATTATGTGACAATCCCAAAAGATACACGAGATTGTCTCAGCATGTAGCAAGGAAAAAGGGCACAGCTTGTTTTTGAAATATTTCTTTTTCTTTTAATAATTGATTTGTAGGCAAAATACTAATATTTTGAGCTGCAACCATCTAGGATTTGAATATTTGTAAGTTTTATGTTGTAATCATAATAATTCTGCCAGTTGTCGTCTTCTAAAATGCTAAATTTTTTTACTAGAATTTGATACTTCATTGTTTTCCAATTAGTTCTCATATGTGCTTATACAGCTTGCTTATTTTTGATCATCGCATGCACAACAACATTTATAAAACGTTGTAGCAGAGTTGAGTCATAATTTACACTAAATATTTTATAGCACGTCATAACTGCAAATATACCTTGAAAATCTATCAAATTAATGGTAATATAAAATCTAAAACAATAAAACTTATCGAAGAACCGTGCAGTTATTGAATCATTCACAAATTGAACGCCTTTCTTAAGAAGAAAAAAATGTTTGTAATACACACTTTTCCATCTATTGTAATACATCCTTTTTCTATTTTAATACAAGAAGTAAACCATATTTGTGTTTGTAAAATGTTCAGCTGTGACAATATTAAGTATCCAGCTAGCTTTAAAATGCATCAAAGACATCAAGCCAAAAATGATTTAAATCCTTTCTAATTAATTTAAGAAAATCTGTTCCAAACAAAAAGAAGTTACAAATATTTGATACAAAACATTGTAACAAACTTTTCCATTAAGATTTATCAGATAATATTCTCTTAATCCATGTAAGTTTCGACGTATTACCAAACTGAAAGCTATCAATATTTAATTCCCCTCACAACAATCGTTCACCGAGATACTGCTTTTGGTTTTGTCATTTGGCCATACAAACTTGCAAAAGAGTGTACTTAATTCACTAAAAACACATTTTGATTGATTTGGTAATGATAATAGCAAATTTAATTTTACAGATAGCTAAACAATTTATCACAGTTATCCTTCCAAACGGAGTTAACACCTTTTATTTCACTCTATTAGCGGATTCTTAATTTCGCGAATTTTATATGGATAATGAAGAGTTGGAATAATGAAGAGCTGTGGAGTTTTTTTTTTTTCTTTTTTCTCCAAGTTAGTTGAGAACGTTATACCCAAAATAACACACTCTGTACAACCCCAGTAAAATTATATTCTGGACACTATTTTTACTGTTACCTTTTCTATATCAACTACTTTTTTTCAAAATTTATATCATGACCAAACAATTTGGAATAAACCGCTCCGGTGGCCTAGTGGTTAGAGCGTCCGCCTCAAATGCGGATGGTCACGGGTTTGATCACCGGCCGTATCATACCAAAAACTTTTAAAAAAAAAAAAAAGTGGTACTGACAACTGCCTCGCTTGGCGCTCAGCATTAAGAGGTTAGTGTTATGACTGGTCGGCCTGTTATCAGGCATGATGCCCCAGTGGTAGACATCAAAACCGTCAAGAGTGTTTTATCGTCATCAAGCCGTCAAGAGTGTATGTTGTATCGTCAGCAAGCCGTCAAGAGTGTGTTTTATCGTCAGCAAGCCGTCAAGAGTGTGTTTTATCGTATGCAAGACGTCATGAGTGTGTTGTATCGTCAGCAAGCCGTTATGAGTGTGTTGTATCGTCAGCAAGACGTCATGAGTGTGTTGTATCGTCAGCAAGACGTTAAGAGTGTATTTTATCGTCAGCAAGCCGTCAAGAGTGTGTTTTATCGTCAGCAAGACGTCATGAGTGTGTTGTATCGTCAGCAAGACGTCATGAGTGTGTTGTATCGTCAGCAAGCCGTCAAGAATATGTGTTGTATATTCAGTATGCTGAAAAAGAGCAGAAGTTATATTACCGACATCAATTCACTCAATTTTATTTTTTCATTATATGAACTAATATCTCTATCATTACCATTATTGTTGTTGTTATTATTATTATTATTATTATTATTATTATTATTATTATTATTATTATTATTATTATTATTATTATTATTATTATTATTATTATTAAAAGAGTGTTGTGTTTGACAAGCCGATGAACATCGTGGATGTGTTTTTACTGTTACCTTTTGTGTTGTTTTTTAACGACATTTAGTCTATTATAGCCAATCAATCATCACTAATAACAATGGAGCTATTTTTTTTTAAGTTGTATACATTAATTTTTATACTTTATCCAGACATTTCAACTTAACTTAAAAATGTTTTAAGAAGTTTTAATGCGTTTGCATATAATTCGAAACGAGTAAATATTGAAATAAAGGAAATGACGAGGAGTTTATCATCATCATAATAAATGATACTGGGGTTCTAGTAGAGTCGTAGCCAAATCGTATTACAAGTATTTAGCTTGTGTATTTTCTTTCAGAAACTCGTGGTATATGTTGTAAAAAAAATACTCGCAGCCCATACTTTAAAAACTGCATTTTTTACAAAGAAAATTATTTATGTTTAGAAAACGACCTATCCATACTTTGCTGCTGAAAAATTGTAAATAGTTTTGACGATGGGTCTGAAGTTTGGACTTCTTTTGAACCATCGGGTATAGAAAATAGTTGTATCCATTCTGTAAATACTTATTGGGAATATTATACTTAAATTTTTTTAAAAATTATTTAATCGTATTAATAAGAAAAGTGAGAAATATATGCTACAATTTTGGTTTCGGTTGTGAAAATGCCGGATGGACAATTCCCTCAACTCTGTTAAAATGTTCCATTGAAGTGGAGTTACGTACAGGGTAAGTAATGTCTGGGAATTATTTATTAAAATTGGATTTGGTAATGTATTTATTAAATATAAATTTGGTAATACAAATGTATTTCGTAATGTATCTTTAACACAAAGCGATGGAATGAGCTAGTATTTATAGAGTGACTAAAACGATGTGAAGGTATTTTCATGCAAGAATTAAATTGTGAAATAAAAAAACTATCGCCAATTACGTCTTTATAATGCACGACCAGTGACAAACTTTTGAAGTACGTATTTAGAAAACATTATATATATGTATATGGCGGCAGTGTGCTGTTCACGCGCCTTTATGATCTTCTCTGCCAGTGCTGGGATGAAGGTGCAGTGCCTCAGGACATGAGAGACGCCAACATCATAACCCTGTATAAGAACAAGGGCGACAGAAGTGACTGCAACAACTACAGGGGCATATCACTTCTCAGCATCGTGGGTAAAGTCTTCGCTGTCCTGCTTAAGTACGCCTTTGGGACGTCCACAGAAGGGATCTACCTGCACACGCGTTCAGACGGCAGACTGTTCAACCTGGCACGACTGAAGGCAATGAGCAAAGTAAGGAAAGCAACCATTAGGGACATGCTCTTTGCAGATGATGCTGCTATAGTCACTCACACAGAAGCTGAACTACAACGCCTGATGGACCGCTTTGCTAAAGCATGTGATGAATTCGGGTTGACCATCAGCCTAAAGAAAACCAACGTGATGGCTCAGGACGCAGACCCTCCCAGCATAACCATTAACAACTACAAACTAGAAGTAGTCAGTGAGTTCACTTACCTTGGCTCTACCATCACCAACAACCTCTCACTCGATGCCGAGCTCAACAAGCGGATTGGAAAGGCGTCAACAACTCTCTCTAGATTGTCGAAGAGAGTGTGGAACAACAGCAAGCTGACATTAAACACTAAGATCTCCGTGTACCGTGCCTGCGTGCTTAGCACTCTCCTGTATGCCAGCGAAACTTGGACCCTGTACGCCTCTCAGGAGAAACGACTGAGTGCCTTTCACATGCGTTGTCTCCGTCGCATACTTGGGATCACCTGGAGCGATCGTGTGACAAACAACGAGGTGCTTCAACAGGCCAAAATTCCCAGCATGGTCACACTCCTCCGCCAACGTCGCATCAGATGGCTGGGCCATGTGCATCGAATGGATGATGGACGGATCCCCAAAGACCTTCTCTACTCTAAGCTTTCCTCAGGCAGAAGATCAATAGGACGGCCACATCTTCGCTTCAAGGATGTCTGCAAGCAGGATATGAAAGCTCTTGGAATAGAGGTCAACACCTGGGAAGAGCTTGCCCTCGACAAGTCCAGCTGGCGACATGCTCTGTACACAGGTCTGAAAGCCAGCGAGGAAAAGTTACGACAGCTCGCTGATGAGAAAAGATCTCAGAGGAAGAGGATGCAGTTCCAACCAAGTCGTCTCTCGAGACTAACGGAACCAACAATAGCACTGAAACCATATCTATGGCCAAGTCAGGATAGCTATGGGCCCCTATGTTGGTTGTACCCAGGGCCCCAAAGGTCTTAATCCAGAACTGTATGTATGTAAGTAGGTAGGTGGGTAGGTACATATGTATGCACGTATGTACGAACTTACATATGTATGTTTAACGGCCTTTTGCGCAATAGTGTATATATCGTGCCAATTGAAAGTAAGTTCTACAAATGTAAAAATGAAGAACATTTTCAAAGATATACCATTTCAAATAGATGCAAAAATGCAGTACTACGAGAAGGACTATACAAAATAAATATATAACAATTCTAACAAAGATATGTAAAGTGTTAAAAGATTTTTGGAACGTTCAATGGATGTAAACCTTGATGCGACACTCGAAGCGATCTTATGTATTCTCGAGGAAACGTCTGTTAATACAAATGCTCAATTTGTTATTTTTTCACATCATTTTTAATGACATATTTCGGTAATAAAACTGTATAAGGTGTGTATTTTCTTGTATAATTCTCTTTCGAATAGTATTTCATTATTTCAGTAATCAATCTTAGTGACAGTTTAATTTCGACAATGTACCTCTATATATTTAGTCGTCTTCGATTAAACTCGAATCAGATTTGGTATCGTTCAATGATACAATTATCTTCCGTAAACTGCACAAGTTTTTTTATAGCTAAGTTTATTTGTACGCACCGTATCCAGTGTCTAAGCAGGAGTATTACATCGATTTCTTAAAGAACTGTTCTGCAGTAAAATTCTTCCATCTGAATCAAGTCCTCTCTTTTTATATAACATTTGAGGAATTTTAAATTAAAATAATTGTAATATCTATGATCTTGACACGAGCATGAATTATATCGTAAAAACGTAAATGCATTCCCATTGCAACTGTCAAATGCATGTACATGGCAATTGCTCTGTTCTATGGATATTTTTTTTTCTTGCTAAATCAAGCTACTATTGACATCATTTAAGAACTAGATAAATTTTCAGTGAACGGCACAAGTTCTAAAAGTTAATTGTAAATTTAGTTTTGGTATTCAGGATCTAAACACGAGTATGTCTTACCTAAATTCAACCGCTCTTCTGTTGCAACTGTCAAATACATAAAAATTGCTCCATTCTATATATTTGTTTGCGTTCTTCTAATTCGAGTCATATTTGTTACAAAATAAAAGCTAAATATTTATACAATTATCAAAGGTAAATAATTATGTGCAGGCTGTACAACATTGATAAAGTTTGCACTAATTTTTTGAAATTATATGTGTGATTTGGATTTAGAGAATAGATTTTAAAAAATATTTCGGTTCATATCGCTACGATGTCTTATGTGAAGACATGTAGCATCATGTCCCATCTAGTCACATTATCCTGACACCAGGCCAACCAGTCCTAACAACACTAACGTCTTAATGCTGAGCGCTAAAAGAGGCAGCTTCTAGTACCATTTGATATGACTTGACCGGGATTCGAACCCGCGACCTTCCGCATCCAAGGTAGACGCTAGAACCACTTAGGCAACCGGAGCGGTCCTATTGGAAGTATATAAGATCTTAACATGAGCAAAAAATTATATTATATCTTTTAAATAATTTTCAGCGCTTTCCGTTGCAACTTTCAATTACTATCAAATTGCTGTTTTAAAACATTTTATTTTGCATTAAATCACGGCACATCTGGTATAGCTTCAAAACTAAGTAAATTGTATGCACACTGTAGACGTATTTAGAAAGTTAAGCGTAATTTTAAGAGCCATATTCAGTGTTGGAAAACGATTATAAAATTCTATCTGAAATAATATGGACCTTTCTTCTGTCGCACCTGTCTAACGGTCGTTGCTCTGTGTTATGCATTTCGTCATGTTTTATTGTGTCAGCTCACATTTAATATCACTTAAAAGCCGAAAAAGCTAAGTATTTTTTAAATAGACTAAGCACAGATGATAAATCTCATTTTAAATGTAAGTACATTTTTAAGGGTCTAAACATGAGCAAAAATGTTGTCTTTGAAATAAAACGAATATACTTTTTGACACAGCTTTGAACACAAATCAATTGCTCTATTTTATTTATTTCCTAATTTGTGTGTATTTCATAATTATATTATTTTAGAGCCGAATAAATTTTAAATTTGACTGCATACCTTTTTCAAAACGTAATTTCTAAATTTAATGGCAGTAGGATCAAACTGGACCATAAACAGTTATTTTTTAAATAACTTGAATTTTGATTGCTTCCCATCCTCTCTCGGATTTGTTTAACTGTTCTGATTCATGCGTATCTTCATCGTTAAGTTCGTTTTATTTCAGATCATTAAAAAGTGCAATAGACACTATCCAAAGCACTTTATGTATCCCCTTTTTTTACTTTATAACGTCTTGAATGCTTCATAGCACTTTTTAAATCTTTGGTTTAATTAGTTTACGATAAAGAATTATTTTTTTTTTTTGTTATTTGTATCTTCTGAACGTCAGCGTTTTAGCACTTCATTATTACTCTACCATCTCTCTCTCTCTCTCTCTCTCTCTCTCTCTCTCTCTCTCTCTCTCTCTCTCTCTCTCTCTCTCTCTCTCTCCCCCCTGCTTTACATGCTCGTTAATTAATTCATTAATTAATGAGTAATATAATGATATGTATTGTAAATAGCTGTATCGGCATATTTCTATCATTTTTGTTAATCAAATCCAAGCATACACCTTAGATTGTATGGTCCGGTAAGCTGGTGTAGGCTTTGTGATGTATATCTAATACCTTACCTCATTTCCGTACCCTGCAGTAAGCCCTTTTTTTTAAATCTGAGATCACTGATGCACGACAAAGATAAAATCACGGATACATCGTCATCTCTTAAATCAATGCATGTGCTCCAATACCACTAATTCTACAGATGAATCTATGCACTAAATCTTTTCTTGTTTTCTTTGTCCCCTTCATTTCCCTTATAAGGCATGCACAACTGAAAATATTATTTTTCATTTTGTTTCTTCAAAGTGTATGCAAGATCGGCTGCTAAAGGCTATTAACACACAATGGCTGTACGTGCCCATTTGGTTCAACTAAATTATGGTCAAGAGTCTTTGGTTCCCAAAATACCCAGATCGAATTCCTATCAACATCCTAGGAGAGGAAGTCCCTTTATTTTGGGCTACTAATCTTTTAATATTTCTAATTATAGGATTGTCGCTTCTATATTTGGTGTTTTTGTTGCATTTGGAAACACTTGAAACTCTCTAGTAGCTGATATGAGTTATATGGTGGAGTCGGAAAGATAACCGAAAGTGGTTTGTTTGTACTCTACGATTACTAGCTTAATTTAATCTCCGTCATTCATACTTCGGAATCCATTCAGGACATCACGTGATAATTACTATTTATCATCTTCGTCGTACTGTATTTTGATTGGTTTGTGCAGAAATTAAGCCCAGCCTCATTTGATACATATGCGCAATGAAGTGCAAAATTTTTAATACAAGACGGCGAAATTTAAATAAAGTTATTCATTCCCGCAGCTTAACTCACTATTATATGTGCACCTGTACATACTAGTGAACATTTCTTCACTTCAGTAAAATGGTGACATTCGTTCTCCTTCTTGCAGCTATTACAGCTCTGGCATTCTGGTAAGTGTATATCTTGCAGTTATTACAATTCTGGCATACTGATAAATGTATATATTAAAACTATTACAATACCGGCATACTGCCAAATGTATATATACATGTATTTGTATTTTTCTTGTACACGAACAAATATTAGTCCTTAAAAAGTACGAAAATAAAAAGTAAATGTTTATTATCATTTCTGGAAGAGATCGCGCATGAATAATACTAGACGATTGTGGGTGGCTCCTGAGATAGTGTAAGTATTTTCTCGTACGCGAATATAGTTTTTTTTTCTTCATAAGAGTGCGAAAAATAACGTGTAGAAAGTATTTTTCCAATGTCGTTTAACGCGATTTTTTTTGTCTCTTATTGGAGGCAAAATATACCATCTGGCGATTTTTGTTTTTTACTGGCAATATAATTCACTGTTTAACCTTGTATATAAAAAAACATTGGTTTAAAGTGGAGAAAATCAGTGATCCCAGGAGAGGAAGCCGCAAACTTGATATAAAATGAACTGAAATTTATTTATTGTTGCATAATTTATTTATCCACATTAACGAACCATCTTAATTGTGCATTGATATATCATAATCCGCTTATGTTGACATCGAGTATGAGTACTGTTTAGTTGTTAATATTTCTGGTAGCGGATATCAACCGGACGAGGCATTATCTCGTAATCTATCTTCGTCAGATTTTCGGCCGCTGGCTGTTTATTAATATATTTACATAGACTGACATTTGTTTGTGGATGGTAAGTAAAATTCCTCTTCTTTTCACTAAAAATTAAATCATTCAGAACACTCCCATTTTCGGTAGTAATCTTTGTCATCAGGCCAGAACACCTGGCATTCGTTGAAGACAAAATCACTCCGCTACCACAACTGTAAAAAAAACCCAAACATATAAAAAATCTTACTTGTTGGCCTATTCAATAGGCAGGGAGGAACAGTAACTACGATCGGCCAAAACGACGGCAAATTCCTTTTTTAAAGGTACCCAGATAAAATAGTTTGCTGAAATTTCAAAGAAAACAGATTGCTTTTGAAGCACTGATTGTTATGAAAACGTATAAAGCAAATGGACGAAAAGATTAGTCTCCATCATGCAGTACAATTATTTGATGTTGCTGCCATAATAAGAAAATGGCGTTTGTATGGTTCCCAAAAGCTGTCATTTAGCGGTGATTTCAATAACGCACGCATCCTTCATCAATCTTCAAAAAAAAAAAAAAAAGAAACCATAGAACTTTTCTTGAAAGGAAGTCAGTACCAAACTTAAATCAAAACAATAAGATATGATGAATGTTTTCATTTTTCAAACCTGACTGGAACACGTTTACTGTGCTGTGAAAGTTTTCAGTTTGTAAGGGAAAAGTGTATGCTTACGAATGCTACCAACGGCGGCTTAAAACGCAAACTTTTACCAGCTTGGGACGTCACGAAAAATTAATGTGCTTCATCATTCGCTATTTTTCCACTGAATTCAGACCAATATGATCCATGACAAAATTATTAAATATTTTTAAATGTGTGTGTACATGTAATTGATGACATTATAGGTATTGTGCATTCAATGTGTGTGATGAGATTCGCGGGGTAGTACACGATGTGGATACACTATTCATGCTATACCTTAGACATGTATATTATATATATATATATATATATATATATATATATATATATATATATATATATATATATATATATATATATATATATATATATATATATATATATATAAGCACTGACTTTTAATGAACACTTCCCAGTTTTTTTTTTATATTAAAAAACCTGGTAACTGGAAGACAAATATAAATAATTATATCAACAAGGGAAACACACGTATGAATGTACATTTAGAAAATATTCGTACTCTTGAGAAATATGAATTTACAATCCGAATATAAATATTTTGCTAAAGAGTTGAAAAAACTAAACCTTACGGAAATCTCGAGGCGTAGTAAAAAAAAAAAGTAGGGTGGGAGGTAAGTAATCAAACCTAGAAAAGATCTCTAATTTTAGCAAAGAAGTGCGCGAAAGACTTCATGTTTAAATTGAGACACATAATTATTGTAATAAATCAAATTTGCACAAATTTCATTATAGACAATATATTGTTGCAAGCTAGGGGTCTTTGCTTGACGGAGAGGTTTTAAAACTCTGGCGTTATTCCTGCTAGAAGTTATGTTTACCTCAAATTTTTAAAGACTTTAATACAACTTCAGTTGCAAGTTAGACAGCCTGACGTGTCCATTATATACATAAATTTTACTCTAATGAATGCAAGACCACATTATTCACAACTTGCCGAATATCTGTCAACCGCACATCTGCATAGTGTCTTCTTTGGTTGGTGATCTAATCAATATTTGGATTTTATTGCAAATATGTAAATTTCGCTGTACTTCAAGAAAACTAAATTTTACAAGTATAGTTTTATGCTACAAAAAAGCTGGACAAATATTTAGCAAATCTTTATAATAAACGCACAGGTAAAAAGTTTACCCTTTCTTGAACGTCGATAGCTTGTAGAATAGTAATGCCAAATAGTGAGTTATATATTTCAACGTGATATTTTCAAGTGTGGTGAGCAACACCCTGTTGGCACACATGTATATGTGTGTGTGTGTGTGTGTGTGTGTGTGTGTGTGTGAGAGAGAGAGAGAGAGAGAGAGAGAGAGAGAGAGAGAGAGAGAGAGAGAGAGAGAGAGAGAGAGAGAGATTATATTGATATACGAATTATTTATAACACCCAAAACACTGTCAAGTAGTGTTAACGGGAATCTGCAAAATCCTGTTAAAATGTCAATTCAAAAATTTTTGATAGAAGCATAAAAGGTGTTTCCAATAAATCTTTTCAAAGATACTTGACAAATAATTAACGCTGGTTCTCGATAACAATGGAATATCAGCA